ATAAAAACAGGTTGGTTATAAAATGTGAATTCATTAAGCATTCCATTTTTGTTGTTTTTTATAAGAAATATTTTGTAGAAACAGTGTAAAACAGGGTCAACTTTTGGAAATTATAAAATTTTAGAAAAAATTTTTCTTTGCAAACCAAGAAGAGTCTAATTTGACCCTGGGGAGCTCCCTGTAGGGTTTCAGAGCCCTGGGGAGCTCCCTGTAGGGTTTCAGAGCCCTGGGCTCTCCACAGTAGCAGCCTCCTTCTGCACTTAGATTAAGACCCCAGCTTTTTCCAATTAGCCTCAATCAGAAAAGTTTAACATACACAAATATCTCTATAGTGCAGTAAAAATGTCATTTTATATTAATTTGCATTATGAAAATAAGTCTGTATACCCAGTAATGCATAATGAATATGAATCATGTAAATTTGGTCATGGTATTTGAAGTTGGCTTTGGCTTTGAAGTATTTTTAAATTCATAGAAAATAAATAAAACATTTTAATAGCTGATATTAATAATCAACTTCAAATTTTCTTTTTTCATTTGCTACTCAATTTTAAAAGAGAAGTCACTCTCAGTAGTGTTCCAAAGTGAGTGATTGCACCTTCTATGTGAAAAAGCTGCTAAAGATCCGATTGCCATTAGCCGTTCCTAAGTGCTGAACATACTGAGAGAAACAGTTTGCAATGGACATGCTCTGTCACTGGCGGCAAATCCAGCAATACCCTTTGCAGGGGCACTCCAGACCTTGTGTTTTCACAGAACGCGGTGCCATCTGTGGTTCTCACGTGCCTTTCTGAGCAGCTCCTGCAGCAGGCCAGGCTACGGTGGCCAAGTCTCGCTTGACGGTAATGGCATCGGATGGTGGCAGGAGAAGGTAACTGATGTCCCTATGTGCTCTCACAGGCTATGCAGATCAGGGGGCTGTTCTGCCTAATACTGAAAGGACCAAGAACCCTGGCTGCCCTCCGGAATTCCAAATGACTGAAGGAACAAAGCTTCAGGGCTCTGGGTGGTGTCTCCCGCTATTCAGGAGGCAGTCGGAGGCTCCGCAGCTTCATTTCGTCCAGTCCTTTCCAGTATTTAAAGTTGTTGTCAAGATGCTGCATTAAATCAGGCAGGTCTACAAAGGCTGGAGAGAAAGATGGGAATGTGATACCCTTTTACAGCCTCGCCTAACAGGTTTAGGCTTTCTGCTGAGAGGATTTTAAGAGTGACAGATAGGAGGAGCAGGCATCTGTGTGAGGCTAAACGCACCCAGAAACTTCAACGAGCCATGGCTGACTGAAGTTAGACCCTGCCCTCAATGCCAGCACCTCCTCTATGGCCACCTGCTGAGCTGGTAACTTTGGCCAATACGACAGAAGGTGGCTAATCTGCTTAACTGCCATTCAACCAGCACCTCTGGACCTGGGGTATCAGAAAGCAAAATGTCGTGTGCCCCCACCTTACGGCCTGGCCCTTGTGTGCCCGCTTTCGCTCCATGCGTGCTTCACATGCACCAGCATCTCCTTCCACCTGCAGCCTGGAGACGCAGGCATCTGGTCTCAGTCCCAGAAGCAGTGAGCTGCGCAGCGATCCCCACTGCTTCAGTCCTTTCTCCCTAGCCACATACAGCAGTTCTACGGCCTCCTTGAGACACAGGTTTATTTCCTGACTGACTGGATCTGGACATTTATCAGCCCTGTAGCCCCTCCCCCAGGGTGCAGCCCTCAGAGTGAAGATGCCCATGGAATATCAGTGGATCCTGTTCTCTGGTTTGACAGGGTCCTGTGCCCCGCCTGAAGTTAAAGGAGGGTGACATGATCAGAGACAGAGCAGTCTTTCTGGTCTTGTGTAGAGTGGGAGAAGCAGGGGACAGCAGAGGGCAAAGGGCTGGTGTGGAAACACCATGGATTCTGGAGCCCCGGCTGCTCTACTACAAGCCCTGGGGCCCCAAGTTCTCTCCCCTCATCTATAAAACAGGCGGAATGACACCTATGCCTGCCGGGAGTGTGAAGAAAGAACATCCAGCCCTCAGAGGCCCTCGGTGATGGTTCACTTCTCTCGTTCTCGAAAGCCTAGGCCCCAAATCATATTCTACAGTCAAATGCACCCTGTCGTTTCAGATGCAGTTCCCCGTCAGTTAAAGGAAAATGTGCTATTTGAAGGAAGATTTCTTACCGTCCCAAGCATCAAACATGTCTGTGATGAAGTAATCAATGAAGGAGATTTGGGATTTGGGGATGCTGCAGGTATTTCTGTCAAAAACTGGCATCACCACAGGTAAGTCCTGCTGCTTCTCCTCATCAGTCTGCAAAGCAGAAAACGTCATGATCAGGAGACCCCAGCATCTGGTTCCACTCCACCCGGGGGCGGCCCCTCCCCCAGGGAGAGCTTTTCCTGGCAGCCTAAGGTGGCTTGTGGTGAGAAGCCAATTGCCACCCCACCCAGCCAAACCATGTTTCATAGCAGATACCCAGTTGTTCTCAGAATGTGGACCCCTCCATGTCAGGGGGGTCTGAGGACACCCCGACTAAAGCCAAACTTTGAATATTGTAAAGCCGCCCTGCAGAAGCTCCTCAGGTAAGATTCCAACAGTAAGTGTAGTCAGTCACCACTGTCGTTCCTACTGACCTAAAGCAACTGAGTCAAAATTAATAGAGTTCATTTGGGCCAAGTTGAGGCCAGCTGCTCAGGAACCACTGTTCTGGAGAATACAGGAGATGCTCCAGTTTTTAGGAATTTTTATTGTACTGGTTTATTGAAAGAACACTGATAGTAATTGGCTATATACTGCTGAATGACAGGGTATGAACTGTGGCACTGTTAGGTTAACTTATGGCTACTGGCCTAGAGTCCACAGAGCAGGCCATTACTTATGTCAACGTGGGGAGTGAGCTGTAACTGCTGTCACATTTCCCTGCCTCTCCGGGCCTGACAACTAAAAGGGGCTCACATTCCTCAGAGAAAAAGATCCTTTCTTTTCTCACTGCTGTCACAGTCCAGCCATCCTTGCACCTGGCTTGAAGCCCACACAGGGGCCACAATGATGAGAGAGAAACACAGCCCCCCCTTCACAGAGAAAGGCCTAGTGGCTGCTGCTCATCTAAGGCTGAATTATTTATCTGAAAAGGTTCTGAACCCCGTTGAGATCCTGGAAGTTAAAAAAAACAAACTTCTGAGGTGAGTTTTTATATACTTTAGTCAAATCGTCTATCTCTTCAGGATTTCAGAGAGACTTGCAAAACATTAAAAACATAATTAAGAACCTGAGGAAAAGGGCAGGCGTCCTGTTCTTTCTTTGATAAGGTCTACTTTTGGGCCAACGGTGCTGGAGAAAGAGTGAGGAAGGCCCCTGGGGCGGGAATGAGGCTGGAGTCGTGCTAGAGGCCCCTGTGGATGTGCAATGGAAGTCCCGCACGATCTCTGCCTGCTGTGCCAGGGTGCCTGTGCTGGGCGTCAGGTCAAAGGGTGGGGCAGGATGAGAGGCAGGGCGAACACAGGTGGACTGAGGTGGGAGTGGGCTGCGGGGAACAGCTCTTCGATGGGACCCTAGTGCATGTGTGGGGCCAGGTGAAAGGATGGTGACTGCTGGGCTGAACCCTTTCTCCCCAGTACTGGGGCTGGAGGGGGTGGAGCCAACCCTCTGGGGTCACTCTGGGAGAGCCTGAGGTGTTGGGCCAGGTGTGGTAAGAACGATGGGAGAAGTCTGGCTGAGCACACAGAATAATGACCACTAAAGTCTCATCCCACTGTTGGCCACTCACAAGATGTGTCTTCTACACTCAGAGCGGTACTTCCACCTCCCAAACGGCCAGCAGAGCTCACCCCACCACCGCCAGGCTTCTGGCGACTGGCAGAACTCACTTGCAGCTCCTCCCCCTTAGCCCTTACTCCACAGGGCCTCACCATTCCCGTACTTGCCTTCAGAGGCCCTCCAGGGAATGCTGTGCCAGGCCAGAAAGCTCTCCTGCCAGCATCTCTCTGCCCTGCCGCACCTCTACAGAACCAGCCCCAGCACTTGCAGGGGCCTCGAGTCACCGACTCTGCTGGCTTTCTTCTGTGCGCTCAGCCCCCCTTCCCCCCCTCCTTACTACACCTGGCCCCACACCTCGGGCGCTCCCAGAGGGCATCTTGCCCTGTGCACAAAACTCACTCCAGCTCTCCATACAGGCTCTCCCCTTGAGGACAGCAGGCAAACCTCTGGAGGTTTTCCTAGGATGGCACCGTACCTGGCACGGCGCACAGAGGTACGTTTATGCTAGGTGGGTGTTCATGGTGCTGGCTACAGGTGCCAAAAAGGAGGTCTGCGCTCCCTGTTTTCAGGTGGACAGTGCTAGACTGTGGGACTCAGCAAAAGCCAGAAGTACAAGCTCCTGCTGTTCTAGGTGGTTCAGAAGATGGAATTCATGTGCTTTGGTAAGAGGAGGAGTGGGGAACGCTGGCTGAGCAGCCACTGGCTGGTGAAGTCCCTGCTGGTGGCCACAGGCTGGCGGCCCTAGCCCTGGTGCTGTCTCAGAAAAGCACAGTCAGCCTTACGTGAGTCTCTGCAGTGGTATATATGGGAAGGGGTGGGGGCGCAGGGAGGGCTTTGAGTTCACAGCCCATTAGCCTGTCCAGCTCAAACAGCAGTGCCCTGAATGGAGCACTCTCCTGATGTGCCCTCCCTTGGTCACGTTAGACCCTAAACCAGCTCTCCCTGGGCAGCCATGGCAAAGGCTCAGTCAGCTCAGCCACTCATGCATCCAGAGGCTCTTTGCTCTTAGGGCCTGCCCGCCCCATCCACATGGAAGCAGCTGGCTGGTTGAAGGTCAGTGAAGACCCCCATGCTCCTATTTCTTCTCTTTGGCCCAATGTGACAAGTGCAGGGAGCTTCCAGGAACCCAGTTACCTGACGGAGACCGCCGTTTGCCAAGGAGACCAGTTAAACCATGGCCCAGGCACTCACCAAAGTCACCAGTGAGAGCTCCACACCTGTAGATGCTTCCTTTCTGTGATCCCCACCCTCAGGGCAGGGTCTACAAGTTTCACATTTCACCCTTGTGCCCGGGCGAAACTAGGACAGACTACAACACCTTGCGCAGAGCCAGGTAAGTGGTCCTCAAGTCCCATTCCCCATGAAGTCAAGCAGCCCCAGACAGAAACCAGAGATGCCCCTTCACCTTGCTTCAGGCCCTGGTGCTCTTGGTATCCATGCTATTCAACAGAGGCTGGCTATAAGGAGTGAACTTGCAAACCCAACCCCATGGAATACAAGAAGCAACTGTGTCGCGATGACTTTCCAAACCAGAGCCTGCGCACTAGAATAACCAGTAGTGCGGTAGATTAGGAAGCTCCAAGCCCTCATTCCTCCATGAAAATGTCAAAAAATGAAAGTGGCTAAAATAACCTAGAGGGACTCTGGAAAACAAAAGTCTACAGCAACCAAGTGAATGCTCATCAAGAAAAGCCACATTCAAACCAGTAGGACACTTAAGGGTATTCTCACTTAACCTTGCCCTCCACCACGTCACGTCCCTCCCCAGTGTGGTACAATCTTGGTCTGCAGGAAGCAGCAACCCAGTTTCCAACTGTGTCCCTTGAACTGGAGGAAGCAGAGCAGACCTCACGTGCAACATTCTGACAAGTCTGTGGGCTGCCTACAGAACTGGTCTCTGTTTCACTTCCCTCCCAGGTATAGAAGCAATGACTACTGCTCAGGAAAGCTGCAGGGAGATGATCGACATGCATACCTGGGGACAAGAGATTACAACGAAGACCGACCATTGATCATCTAAGGCCCTCTTTGGACAAGACTCCTTGGGAAATTCAGACATTCGAAAGCAGCTGTGTATGTAGGGGAAGTAAGGGTATGTATATGCAGACTCAGGCAAGACATGCTCAGAAAAACGTTTCAGAAAACTTTAAACTTTCTTGTTGGGTTAACTGCAAGGCTCAGAGACAGTCTTCAAAGAGTAGGAGAGGTGGCTGTTTTTAAAATGCCTAATTTTCAACAAAAGAAAGTAGAAAATATGGCCCAATCAAAGGAAGAAAATAAAGACGTACAGGCACTGGATAAAGGGTTGAAGAAGACTGTCTTAAATATGATCAAAGAACAACAAAAACAAAAAAAATCAGACTAAGAACTATAGGAAACCAGGGAAATGGCAGATGAACAACTCAGTGAGAATAGCAGCAAAGAGAGAAGTTACGAAAAGTAATCTAACAGGCCAGGGACAGTGGCTCACACCTGTAATCCTAGTATTTTGGGAGGCTGAGGTGGGCGGGTCACCTGAGGTCAAGAGTTTGAGACCAGCCTGACCAACATGGTGAAACCTCATCTCTACTAAAAATACAAAAATTAGCTGGGCATGGTGGCTGGCACCTGTAATCCCAGCTACTTGGGAGGCTGAGACAGGAGAACTGCTTGAACCCAGGAGGTGGAGGTTGCAGTGAGCCAGGATGGCACCACTGCACTCCAGCCCAGGTGACACAGCAAAATCTCCATCTCAAAAAACAAATTAAACCTCACCAGAGGGGTTCAGCATCAGATTTGAGCAGACAGAAGAAAGAAAAAACAATGAAGAAAAGTGGCTAGAACCTAATGAATTCATGGGAAACCATCAAGCAGATCAATGTACATCTTATGAGTCCAGCAAAGAGAAGAGGAAGAGAAAAGGACCAAGGGATTATCTGAAGAAATAGTAGCCAATAGGCACAGTAGTGCATGTTTGTAATCTCTGCTACTTGAGAGGCTGAGATAGGAGGGTTTCTTGAGCCCAGGAGTTCAAGATCAGCTTGGGCAACATAGACCTCATATTTGAAAAAATACGAAATAGTGGCCAAAAACTGCCATAATTTCGGGAAAGATGTGAATCTACAAATCCAAGAAGCTAAATAAACTCCAAGTAGGATAAACCCAAAGAGATCAATCTGAAACACTATATCCAAACAATGAAAAGACAAAGGATCCTGAAAGCAGCAAGAGGAAAGAGACTCATCACAAATAGGAGATAATAAGATGATCTGCTCACTTCTCAGCAGAAACCTTGAAGGCCAGAAGGCAGTAAAATTATATAAAGTGCAGAAAGACAAACTGTCCTTCAAAAAACAGGGAGGAATTAAGACATTCCTAGATAAACATAAGCTGAGGGAATTCATTACCATTAGACCTGACCTACAAGAAATGCTAAAGGAATCTTTTAGGTTGATATGAAGCAACATTATTATAATTTTGGTTTGTAACTTTAAAAAATACATAAAAATTTTAAATGTTAAAGGTATAAAGATATTTGTGACATCACTTACAAAATGGAGTGGGAAGGTAGAGCTATATAGGAGTCTGTGTATACAATTTATGTTAAGTTGATATCAATTTAAAACCAATTGTTGTAACTTTACACTGTCCTATGCAGTCTCTATGGTATCCACAACAAAACTATCTATAGAAAAAGGGAATCACAATGTGTCATTACAAAATATCAAGTAAGCACAACAGGAGGCAGTAATGGAGGAAATGAGGGACGGAAAAGCTGTAAGACATACAGAAAACTAACAAGGTGGCCAAAGTCTTCCCCTATCAGTAATTATTTTAAATGTAAATAGATTAAACTCAAAAGGCACAGACTGGAAGAATGGATAAGAACCCATGATCCAACTACATTGTATATACAAGACAATCACTTAGCTCTCAAGACATATATAAGTTGAAAAAGATATCTCATGAAAATAATACCCAGAAGAGAATTGGGGTGAGTATCCTAAGAGACAAAATAGACTTCATGTCAAAAACTGTTACAGGACAGGCGCAGTGGCTCAGGCCTATAATCCCAGCACTTTGGGAGGCTGAGGCAGGTGGATCACCTGAGTTCAGGAGTTTGAGACCAGCCTAGCCAACATGATGAAATCCCATCTCTATTAAAAATACAAAATTAGCCAGGCATGGTGGTACACGCCTGTAATCCCAGCTCTTCAGGAGGCTGAAGCAGGAGAATCCCTTGAACCTGGGAGGCAGAGTATGCAGTGAGCTGAGATTGTGCTCCAGCCTGAAAGGACATTAATAATTAAGGGTCAATTCATCAGGAAGATACAACAATTATAAGCATATAGGTACCAAATATCACAGTTCCAAAATATATGAAGCAAACATACATAGAACTGAAGGAAGAAACAGATACTTCTAAAATACTGTTTGGAGACTTCAATACTACACTTTTATAATGAATAGAACAATGAGACAGTAGATCGATAAGAAAATAGTTTGAACAATGCTCTAGGCCAATTGGACCTAACAGAATGTATAGAACATCCACCCAAAAACAGCAGAATATACATTTTTTTTCTCAAGTGCAAATGGAACATTCTCTAGGATAGAACACATTATAGGCCATAAAACAAATAGTGTATTTTAAAAGGTCAAAAGTTATACAAAGTGCCTTTTCCAATCACAATGAAATGAAACCAGAACTCAGTAATGGAAGGAAAACTGGGAAACTCACAAGTATATAAAAATTAAACAGCATATGTTTTGATATGGTTTGGATTTCTGTCCCCACCAAATCACATGTGAACAATAATCCCCAGTGCTGATGGAATGTGTTTGGATCATGGGGGGAGATTCTTCATGGATGGCTTGGTGCCCTCCCCTTAGTAATGAGACAGATCTTGCTCTGAGTTCACAGGTGACCTGGTTAGGAGTGTGGCAATTCCCCCTGCTCTCTTGCCGTGTGATACATCTGCTTCCCCCTTTGCCATGATCATAGGCTTCCTGAGGCCCTCACTAGAAGCTGAGCAGATGTTACTTCCATGCCTGTACAGCTGCAGAACCATGAGCCAAAATAAACTTCTTTTCTTTATAAATTATCCAGCCTCAGGTATTTCTTTATAGCAATGCAAAGGGACTAATAACAACCAATGGGTCAAAGAAGAAATCATAAAGGAAATTAGTAAATACTTTGAGACAAATGAAAATGAAGCGCACTATACCAGAAGTTAGTGGATGCAGCAAACACAGTGATAAGAAGGAGACTAATAGCTGTAAATGTCTACAAGATTTTACATCAACAACCTAATAGAACATGTTATGGAGCTATAGAAACAATAAATTAAACCTAAAGTTAGCAAAAGGAAGGAAATAATAAAGAACGGAGGTACACAGAAAACAGAAAAATTAGTACAGAAAAATCAAAACCGAAAGATAATTTTTTGAAATGATCAACAAGATTCACAAATCTTTGGTTAGATGGACTAAGAAAAAAAGACAGGACCCAGATTACTAAAATCAGAATGAAAGTGGGAATATTACTCCAGGATTCACAGGAATAAAAAGGATTATAAGAGAGTACCATGAACAACTGCATGGCAACATAATAAATAAATTACTAGAAACATGCAACCCACCAGCACTGAATCATAAAGAAACAGAATCTGAATAGACCTATGATGAGCCAGGAGACTGAATCAGTAATCAAAAACCTCCCAACAAAGGATGGTTTCACTGGTTAAATTTTACCAAACATTTTGAGAAGAATTAATGTCAATCTTTTTCAAATTCTTCCAGAAAAATCAAAAAGCAAAGAAGCATTTCCTAACTCATTACATGGGGTGAGCATTATGCTAATAACAAAGCCCGACGAAGACACTACAAGAAAATTGCAGGCCAATATCCCCCGCGAATACTGATGCAAAAATCCTTAAAAAAAAAATGCTAGCAAACCAAATTCAGCAGCATGTTAAAGGATTATACACAACAACTATGTGGATTTTATTCCTGAAATGCAAGATTAGTTTTTCACATGAAGATCAATCAGTTAATATACCACATGAACAGAATAAAGGGACGAAAACCCAGGTAATCTAAAATGGTAAATTTTACCACAAAAAAGGAAGAAAAACGGAACTGCGAAACTGCTTCCCAAAGTGCTTACAGCATTCTACACATCTATTACAGATGCATGAATTCTAGTTGCTCCACATCTTCAACATTTGGTATTGTCAGCCTTTCCTATTTTTAGCCATCCCATTGAGTGTGTACTGGTGTTTTGCTGTGGTTTTAATTTGAATTTCCCAGGTGACTATTGGCTTTTCATAAAAGCCTCTTTGGGGAAGTGTCATTGGGTGGTTTATCTTTTATTACTGAGTTACAATTCTTTGTATATCTGTGGATACATTTCTTTCAGATAAAATTTGTATTTTCCTCCAATGTGGCTTCCCTGCTCATCTTCTAAGCTGTGTTTGAATGAGCAAACTTTGTAAATTTTGAAGAAGTCCAATTTAGCAAATTTTCTTTTTACAGTTGTTGCTTTCTTTTTTCTTTCTTTCTTTGTTTTTTTAAGACAGTCTTGCTCTGTCATTCAGGTTGAGGTGCAGTGGCAGAATCACGGCTCACTGCAGCCTCAACCTCCTAGGCTCAAGCAGTCCTCCTGCCCCAGCCTCTCATGTAGCTGGGACCACAGGTGCGTGCCACGACCACATGCAACTAATTAAAAAAAAAAATTTTTTTTTTCTAGAGATGGGGTTTCCTTATGTTACCCAGGCTAGTTTCCAACTCCTGGGCTCAAGTAATCCTCCCAGTTAGGCCTCCCAAAGTGCTTGGATTATAGGTGTAAGCCACTGCACCTGGCTGGTTGTTGCTTTCTGCATCTAAGAAATCTTTGTCCACTTCCAAGTTGCTGAGGCTATTCTGCTATGTTTCTTTCTAAAAGTTTTATGGTTCTCTTTTTTTGCACAGGAATATCTAATTATCCTAACACCATTTGCTGAAAAAATTTCACATTAGCCACTGATGATATAAATGTGATCTGTTTCTGGGGTTTCTTTTTTTTTTTCTTTTTGAGACAGAGTCTCGCTCTGTCACCCAGGCTGGAGTGCAGTGGCGCAATCTCAGCTCACTGCAACCTCTGCTTCCCAGCTTAAAGCAATTCTCTGCCTCAGCCTCCCGAGCAGCTTGGATTACAGGCACGTGCCACCAAACCAGGCTAATTTTTGTATTTTTAGTAGAGACAGGGTTTCATCATCTTGGCCAAGCTTGTCTTGAACTCCTGACCTTGTGATCCACTTGCCTTAGGCTCCCAAAGTGCTGGGATTATGGGCGTGAACCACTGTGCCCATCCTGTTTCTGGGATTTCTATTCTGTCCCATAGATGTACTTTTTTACCTTTATGCCAGCACCACATTACCTTATTTTAAGTTTTGAAGCCAAATAGGGCATATCTTTGAACTTTTTATTTTTTTTAATTTGCTTTTATTATTCAAGGTCCTTCTCATTTTCATATATAATTTAGAAACAGTCTGTCGATTTCTACCAAAAAAAAAACCCTGCTGAGATTCTGACTGGGATTGCATTGAACTGAAACACCAATTCGGGTAGAAGTGAATGTTAACACTGAGCCTTCCAGTATGTGAACATGATATGCCTTACCATTTATTCACGTGTTCATTAAATGTTTCAGCAATGTTTTATGCTTTTCATTGTAAAGTTCTGGTCATCTTTTATTAAATTTGTTCCTAAATAATTTTAATTTTTTTATCACTATTGTAAATGGGACTGAGCTCTTGGTTTCATTTTCCAGTTGGCTGCTAGTATATAAAATACAACTAACTTTTGTATATTGAGCTGTGTTCTATGACATTGCTAAATCAGATACACTTACTAATGCTAATAATTGTTTGTACATCCCTTAGAATTTTCTATGTAAAGTCATGTCATCTGCAAACAGAAGCAAATGTATGTCTTACCTTTTGTTCTTTAAACCTTTTTCTCCCTTGCCTGTTGTAATGATGAGGACCACAAATACAATACAGAAGATGTAAGAATGGGCACCCTTACCTTCTTTCCAATCTTAAGAATATATTCAATATCTCACACCATTAAATATAATGTTAGCTGTATGTTTTCTTTGAGACAGGGCCTCACGATTATGTCACTGTACTCCACCCTGGGCAACAATCGTGGCTCACTGCAGCCTCAACCTCCTGCCTCAGCCTCTCAAGTAGCTGGGACTATAGGAGTGCATCACTATGCCCAGCTAATATTTAAATTTTCTGTAGAGACAAGGTTTCACTATGTTGCCCATGCTGCTCTTAGATTCCTGGGCTCAAGTGATCTTCCTACCTTGGGTCCTAAAACTAACAGCACTTTAAAGATGTTCCGGTGTCTTCTGGCCTTCATAGCTTCTGATGGGAAGTCAGAGAATAGAGAATCACTGTTTTCTTGTAAGTAATGAGTTCCTTTTTCTCTGGCTAATTTCAAGATGTATCTTTAGCTTGTTAGCTGCTTCACTATGACAAATCTGACATGGGTTAAAGTTCACTGGGCTTCGTATACATATGCATATGCCCGCTACCAAACCTGGAAAAATCTTAGCCAGTATATTTCCTAGTATATTTTTCTGCCCCAAGAGAGGTTTTTTCTTACTCAAAAAGAATATGAAGACCAGATGACTCCTTTAAAGTACTTTCAGGGNAAAAAAAAAAAAAAAAAAAAAACATCTAGCAAAAAGGATGCTATATCTAGCAAAAATATCCTGCAAGAATAAAGGGAAAATAAACATATTCTGAGAGAAGAAAAAAAATTCATTACCAGTCAACATAACAATACAAGGACAGGATTTTGTTTAGAACCCTATTTCCTAGTGTGAAGTCCACTATCTCTTATGGTTTTATGGTTTTTATCTCTTTCTCTCTCTAGAAACTTAAAAGAGGCAGCATCTTACCTGAGAAAAATATTCTTCTGAAATGCGTGCAGCCCACTCGATGCAGTACTGCAGTGGTCGGCAGGGATTGGACACATCAGCACATTTAATCAGCATTCGTTTAATTAGAGTCCGGTTCTCTGGAGTCCTAAGCATGGTATTTATGGCTTCCTGATCTTTATCAGTTTCCTAAAACATGAGTGGAATTCAAAGCAATCAAAATGGGTCCCTTGGTGCCATGCCCTCTCTTACTGGTCTGGTCCCACTGTAAGCACAAAAAGAGCACTAGTCAGGATCTATAAGTTAAAGCTCTCACAAAACACTGCCAAGGATACTATGAGCACTGAGTTTGGCCTCTCATTTTACATAGGAGAAAACCAAGGCTCAGTGAGATTCCAACAGGACCTAGGAGTGGAGGGTAGCACAGGGGTTGGTGTATCTGCCCTTCCCCTTTTCCTTGTCTCTTCTCTTCCTCTCACTAAATCTTTGTCACAGTTGCCTTTTTTTCTGTTCCACTCTCCCCTACCCTTGGTAAGAACTCAAAGACTGGTTTTATCTTTTATTATATTTATTTTTCAAAAGAATGAGCTGAAAAAAAAATTTCTCTGCCCTTACAACAAATGGGCTCTTGTAGCCCAACAGGCTCCTTACTTCTCAACCCAGTCCTGGGACAGGTGTGATCTTGGGAATCTGCCCTAATATTTTTGATGTATAAAGGACTTAACAGTCATTTTCTGTTGATCTGCACTCACGAGAAGATCTAATGGTAAGCATAAAAAGTACTTATTACATTTTACAAATGAGGACACTGCAACTCAGGGAGGTGAAGTGACTTGTCCAAAGCACCCAGCTGAGCCAGGATAAGAACTTAAGTTCTGCCTTTAGTCCCAGGCTGCCTTCCACTCACAGTGCCACATGCTGTCTGCATCACAAGGATCCCCATTGGCTATGGATCAATTTATGACATAATAGAACCTCTATTCATAGGCTGTCTGAAGAGAACTCAGGTTAGAGGGTACTGGGGCAGAGGGCAGTGGAAAAGACCAGAGGCAATCAAGTATCCTCAGTCTGATTCCATGCCCATCAAGCAACCCTGCAGAGTCAGTCACATCATTTCAATATGCAACAACAGTGGTCTAAGAAGGCCTGATGGTCCCAGCTCAGAGGGAACAGTGGCCTAAGAAGGCCTGATGGTCCCAGCTCAGAGGGAACAGATCTACCAGCAAGATGGGCAGGTGGCAACCTGACTCTAGGCGTCCCGGAGAGTGCCAAAATGACTACACCAGTGCTACTTCAGTAGCTCTCCTCACTCCAGGTTTCCCCTGCTGACCAGCTCTGTGCTGACGCTTCTTCAGATCTATTAATACCTGCCGTGTGACTGTAGTTTAGTACTGCCAGCCTGGAAACTATTCTCTATCATCTTCCTTTCTCCTGCTCTGACCCACTGGATATTGATTTTCAGTCTCTCAGAAGTAACCCCATGTACTGACAACAGAGATGAGAACCTTAATGGTAAGTGGAGCAGAAAACTCAGCTAAGTCGAGGGGCTGTCCAGACTAGATGGAGGAAACCAAATCTGTGAGGTGTGTTATTTCCTTCTGTGGCATGGGGTCAGCCAGGAGTGGTGGCTGGGTGACAAATGGCCCTATCCAGAATGGCAGGGCAGGAGCCAATAAAAGAGTCTGGTACAGGCACCTCTGTGTTGAAAGTCTTTGGAAAGAGTGAGGTCAGGGGCAGGCTGACAAAGTAAGAGAACAGGAAAGGGTGAAGGAATAGAGTTCTCAACATCAGGTTAAACTGAAGTAAATGTCAAGGGGTAATAGGCAAGAAAGCCATGGGGTAGACAAAGGCCATGGCCAAACAAATGAGTTGCAGAAGTAAAATGGAGTTAGAAGTCTAGCCTGCAAGGATGAGCCATCCCTGTGTGTGACAACTGTCTCAGGACGGTGACAGAAGCTGGGGAGGAGGGTGGTGGAGAAGACTGTGAGGTGCTGCCAACATGTTCAGTAAATGTGGGCCTCAGAGGAAGAGGGTTCATGAAAGAACACATTCTTGAAGTTGCTGATGACACAACCAATCTACTATAACAGGCTCCAGCTCTTAAGTGTGTACCATGTACCATGCTCATCAGTCCTATTCCTTGAGACGACTTATTCCCATTCTACAGATAAGCAAATGGTACAGTAGAAATAGGGTGGGAGCTCGAGCTTGTCTGCTTCCTCAGCTGGAGTCTCCCGCCTGGCAAGAGGGTTAATGTTATCCTTGCCCAGCAGTTATTGTGGACTCCATGCCTCAAATGTAGAAAGGGGCCAACAATAGTGTCACACTTGTGACCCAAATACAGTGCCTTTCTCAATCCACACACTCCTCTAAGTGTGGACCAAGAGAGAATAGCTGCTGCTACTATAATATATGCCCAGTGGGAGTGGCTAGAGAGAGACGTCAAGGACTCCAACTGATCACAGAATGGCAAAGAGGACAGGAATATTAGTGAGAAAGGGAACAGGAATAGTCTACCTGTCTGAAGTTAGTTTATTTAAAATCTGATCTTCCTTTCGAGTTTTCTCATTTAGTTGGATGTGCTAATTTTTTTCCTGCCAAGTTTTTACACTTTACATAATTTTTTAACCAATAAAAACTATATTTAGTGAGCCCACTGAGATAATACTGAGTATCAACTTGATTGGATGGAAGGATACAAAGTATCGATCCTGGGTGTGTCTGTGGGGGTGGTGCCAAAAGAGATTAACATTTGAGTTGGTGGGCTGGGGATGGCAGACCCACCCTTAAGATGGTGGGCACAGTCTGATCAGCTGCCATCAAATATAAAGCAGGCAGAAAAACCTGAAAAGGAGAAATGGACCTAGCCTCCCAGCCTGCATTTCTCCCATGCCGGATGCTTTCTGCCCTCGAACATTAGACTTCAAGTTCTTCAGCTGGGGACTCAGACTGGCTCCCCTTGCTCCTCAGCTTGCAGACAGCCTATTGTGGGACCTTGCGATTGTGTTAGTTAATACTTAATAAACTCCTCTTTGTATGCATGTGTGATATATATACACGTGTGTGTATATGTATATATACACACACGTGTATATATATGTGTGTATATGCACACATATATATCCTATTAGTTCTGTCCCTCTAAGAGAACCCTAATACACCCACTGAGGGAACCCTTCTGTGGCTGATATTGTAGCCCATGTGTCTCCACAACCCAGTGGTACAAGGACCCCAAACACAGGTTCTTTTTGCAGTAAGTTTCCCTTACCCCATTTTCTTCTAGTGTTGCCAACGGTTTGTTGATGCTGTTGACAAATTTGTTGACATGCTCGAAGTGCTTTGTCATTTCTGTGGCTAGGACCATGTCAATAATCCCCTGGCGCAGTGTCCGATAGTCATTCCTGTTTTCGATGACAAATTAGAGGCTGCTACAGATTACTGATCCAGACCAGACAGGTACTCCTGAAAACAATCTGTTAACCAGGTTATGTGTCCTCTGAAGCTATAAGTCTAATGTCACTGAAAGTCACAAGACACATTTTAAAAGGATGTGGAAGTTATGGGTTAGTGCCTAGATCGTTAGCAAGGAGAACCCAAACAGAACTTAAAACCAAAAACTACAGGCAAAACTTTATAGTTGCAGTGTTTGTCTTGTCATTCTGTAGTATGATGTATATAGTTCTTTGAATAAAAATATAAGAAAGGTAAATGATACCAGTTCTCTTAATGAAGATAGAGATCTGTGGTTATAAAGAATATACCCCACATGAAGGTACCTTGAGATGCAACAATTTTAGGGCCAAAGAATCTGAGGACAGATCTTCTGACAGCTGAGAAAATCATAGGGAGTACTTGGTGCCTCTAACTCTAACCCTTGCCTTTATTTTAGTACTTTAAAAAAATTTATTTCTTGAAGGGATAATCCATATAATTCAAAATTTGAAGGGGTACAAACAAATATGAAATAAAGTCTCTACTCAACCCCTTTTCTGCAGTTGGGTAGAAAACTTTCCCTGGAAAGTTAATAGGGTCTGATGCAGTTTTCCATTGATAACTGATACAGCTATATGCAAATATGAATAGAAACTACTTTAACTCCATCTCTGAAATCCTACAACATGGCAGAAGGGAGTTTTACAAAATCAAGAATCCTCTTCTTTAAAACTCCAAATTAGTAAGTATTCTTCATGATACAATGTTTTTTCCTTCTTCAACTGATATTCACTAAGATCCTAGTATGTACGAAGCACTGTACTAGGCACTGAGGGCATGGTGACATATGACCCTTGTGACCTTACAGAGCTTAAGAATCTAATCAGACATTAAGCAAACAATTAAAAAATAATTATTTAATAAGAAATGTGATATGTGCTATGAAGGAATCTGGGATTGAATAGAGGGTTTAACTTAGCATGGGAGATCAGGGAAGACTTCCCCAAGAAAGTGACAGGTAAACAGAGACAATGCCAAGGAGATATATGCTGGGCAGAGTGGAGTGCTTCAGGGAGAGATGTAAGATGACTGCTTCTCTGAGTCTCTCAGAGCTCAAGATATCAGCATTATACTTCATCTTGAAACATCAAGACGTAAAGGGGCTGAATCTTAAAAACGTGCTAAGTAAAAGAAGCCAGTCACAAAAAATCACATATTGCGTATGATTCCATTTACATAAAATGTCCAGAACTGGCAAATCTATGGACAGAAAGTAGACCAGTAGTTGTCTAGGACTAGGGGAGTTGAGGGGGAATAGAAAGGAACTGCTCATAAATTTGAGGTTTTATCGAAGGGATGATATTCTAAAATTGATTGTGGTGATGTTTGCACAACTCTATGAATTTAGCAAAAACCACTGTACACATTATTATTTTGAGACAGGGTCTCGCTCTGTTGCTCAAGCTGAAATGCAGTGGTGTGATCACAGCTCACTGCAACCTCAGCCTCTTTGCTCAAGCAGTCCTCCCACCTCAGCCTCCCGAGTAGCTGGGACTCCAGACACAATCACCAAGCCTGGCTAATTTTTGTTTCCTTTTTTGTAGAGACAGGGTCTCCCTATGTTGCCCAGGGTGGTCTCAAACTCCTGGGCTCGAGTGATCCTCCTGTCTTAGCCTCCCAAAGTGCTGGGTTTATAGGCATGAGCCACTATGTCTGGCCCACTGT